AGTGTTGCTGATGTAAACCTTTTCCATTGGTCTGACCTGGTTTGTAAGCAGTCATGTGGGGTGGCGTCCTGGGGGCTGGGACTGCTGGGAAGCACGTACAGCTCACGTCAGAGCAGAAGGTACCAGGTTCTGTTTTTGCTCACAGGTGTTCCTCAGCACGCGGAGGGGCTCGTGGATAGTGAACCGTGTGGGGGACAAGGGATTCCCCATGGACATGAGATTCAGCAGGCTCACGCACATGCTGACGGTCATTCTGCCCATTACTCTCACATCCATGATAGGCGAGAGACGACTTAACAAGAGATTCAACCACAAGCTGTACTCCATCAAACCCAAGCATAGGTGTGTCTCCATCGGAGGGCTTTTTAAAGCAGAACTGACAAGCCATTTGGTTCTTGTATTACTAAGTAAATAGCAGCTAAGGCAAAGTAAAATTGCCAGTGTCAGGCTGCACAAAGATGTCCACAGCTGTAATTTAAACATCGTCATTAATGGTCAGCCTTGTGCAGATGATGGTTCTGAATCGGTACTGCCTCCCCCAGGTTGTTCAGCCAGCACCCCACGGTCAATGATGAGCTGCCTAACCGCATCCTTTCTGGCACGGTCCTGGTGAAGACCAACGTGTCCAGGATCGAGGGTTCCAGCGTGATGTTTGAGGATGGGACGGTGGAGGAGGACATCGACCTGGTGGTCTTCGCCACTGGATACACCTTCTCTTTTCCCTTCCTGCCCTCGTCTGTCATTTCAGTTTCGGAGAACAAGACTTTGCTCTACAAATACGTCTTTCCTCCCACACTGGAGCGCCCCACGCTGGCCATCATCGGGCTGGTCCAGCCTCTGGGGGCCATAATGCCCATTTCAGAGATGCAGGCACGATGGGCTACGCGCGTCTTCAAAGGTGCCAACACAGATGGCTTGAAGTCTTCATAGTTTCCCTGTTCCTACCTAAGGAGTGTTTGTCCTGTGCTTTCTGTGGTCAGTGTCCTCAGTTCATGCTGGACATTTCTCCTCAGGGCTGAACAAACTTCCCCCGGTGAACAGAATGCTGAAGGACATCAAAGTAACCAAGGAAATGATGGAGAAAAGGTAATTTCCGTTCCTAAATGTGTTTCACCTTTTATAAGATGTTATTAGAAACTTGTTATTCTCACAGTGCATCTCAAATATTTATGAATAGAGTTTTCATATAAACGCTCTGCTCCTCTACAGTTCAGTAGTACCGATGCTCTCAGATGCTGAACTTGAAGTAATGTAGTTTAGAATGAATTGTTTAAATCCATATTTGTAATATTTTGTAAAATCTGTTCTTTCTGTAGCTGGCTTCTGTGTTTAGCTTTGTTCTGTCCTTTTTATCCTCTTCCCTCAGGTATGTGACGTCTCAGAGACACACCATCCAGGTGGACTACGTCCGTTACATGGATGAGCTGGCGAGGCAGTTTGGGGTGCGGCCCAAGCTCCTCCGGCTGCTGCTGCGAGACCCTCGCCTCGGCCTCAGCGTCCTGCTGGGACCCTGTACCCCGTACCAGTACCGGCTATACGGGCCGGGTCAGTGGGAAGGGGCCAGGCAGGCCATTCTCACGCAGTGGGAGCGGGTGGCCCAGCCAATGAAAACCCGGGCCGTGCCAGAGCCCCCCTCTTCAAGGCTGCCGTTGCTTCTTGCTCTCAGTGGCGCCGTCCTAGTGGTAGCAGCTGTCTGTGCCGGAATAAACCTTCCAGACCTCTTGGCTTCCCTGAGCAATTGGAGGATGTATGTGCCAAAGCCATTCCTTCACATGGTGTAAAAGTGCGCTGATAACAGAAAAATAAGCTTTACCCTGGGAAACTGCNGGCTGGTGAGAGGTGCATAGTGGGATTGTTGTCAGTGTCTTAGGCCTCAGGCAAGAAGAATGTGTCTTGGGCTGACCCTGAAACCAGGAGCTGACACGGCCTGTTTGTGAAGATAATCAGAACCTTTGCTGAAAGAATGGGACGTCCTACGTAGGCTGCTCAGTACTGCAGTGGAAGATAACGGGAAAGCAGTCAGAGGTTCCGAGAGGAGACAAACAGGCTTATTTTCTTATGTGTGTGCTATATTTACCTATTTGGAGGGTCATGTGATCTAATAGCTGTGTTGTAATGAAATAGATTAATCGACCAAATATATGGTGAGGTATGGGTAGTTTGATGAGCTGGATTGCATAGTATTGTTTACCTTGGGGACATGATGTAAGGGGTTAGCAAGGGTGGGTGTAACTGGTGGTGACTGGCTGACTGGCCATGACCCTAAAAGGATGCAGAGGTGCACAAGGTCAACACCTCTGCACACAGACGAGAGCCCCTGCCTTAACCAATAGGGTACAATATTGCCTTTTAAGGGGATTTGCAGAAATGTATGAAACGTGAGCATGTACTTTGTTTAGGAGTTTCTTAACCAAGGGAATTCATGTCAGGTAAATTTACTTCATGCCTGGTGCTGAACAGAATTTAAGGGAAAGTAACTAGATTGTTTACTTCCACACTATCATTATAAATGAGCTTGAGATAAAAGGTTAAACTTGTGTAAGTCAGCAAATGTAATAACAGTACCTTATTTTCTTCAGTTAATATTCATATTCTGTACTTATTAATCTCTTTAAACATGTTAATCTTAATCTCTTTTTTAAAAAAATTATGTAGACACAGAATAATGGTGAAATGTTTTTACTTCTTTTCCAATATCACATTATTCTTCCAAAAAGGAATTTCTCCTATAGGAATTAAAATATGAGCTGCAACAATTTTCGTGGTTATTCTTTTTATAGTTTTAATGAATATTTAGGTGTTTAATGAAGCTTTAGGTGAATGAGGTGTTTATTATTCTTAGCAGTAATAATTTGAAAAGTTCTCTTGCTCCTGCATGGTCTTTGATGTGTGCACTGATGACTGGTCAGATTTGGTCATTTTTGCCAGAAGAACCTCAACACGACTGTAGAGGATGCATAATTGTAGCAGACATCATAGGCTGGCCAACCATCCATTTGCTCTTGGTTTGTTTTTGTTTTGTTTTTTTCGTTTCTGATTTTGACTCCTCTAAAGTTCTTGCAAAGTCTTTGATGACCCTCTAGGGGGTGCTGTTGGTAAAAACATTTTCATAAGTCTCTAGTTTGATTCTAGAAATAACTTTAGCTTGTTAATATTAGAAAAACTCTGTCAAAATCACATGCTGCATCCCGCTCTATCACATTCTGTAAAACCACAGAGCCCATCAATGCAGTGTTATCTATGAACAGTTGCTCTCTGTTCTTGCCCTTTGTGTGAGCACAAGGGCCCACAGAGTGCTTGCAAATGCCAAAATATCTTCCTGTTTCTCCTGCTCTAGTTCCATCATTGCTGCTTCTGCTTGGATAAAATTTCTTCCTGCTTGTTTAAAAGCTGGACTTGTGTGAATCTATAACATGGTCACTGGTGAATTTTGGCAAAATCAGCAAACTCTGCTTTCCCCTTGTGAATGTCTCCCTGGTCACGAATGTCGTACAAATATGGAGGTTTCGACACCATTATTCTAAAATTAACTTTCAATATCAGCAGTGATAGCCGTGATTTATAATAACTGTATATGTGCTGTAAGATCTGAGTGTTCACTAAGTAAACCGGTTGAGCTGTGTTGATAAAACAAGCCAGTCATATATGTATATATATAATATTTATTCAACTTTGAATGTAAATATATCTATTTCACTATAATACACACATAACATGAATCTCAGTAATAGACTGAGTGGAAAAATCTGCTTTCTAAGATCAGGCAGAGGAGAGTCGTTTACATGTATTTATCTAGTACATATAGTGAATGATATGGTGACACAATGCTGCATCATATACGGACTGTGCACATGCTGGTATAAAATGTGAGCCAGACCGACATCCATCCATCCATCCATCTTCTACTTGTTTATCCAGTACCAGTTGGCCTGGAGCCTATTGCAGGGAGCAAAGTGCACAAAGCAAATGTACTCCCTGGACAGGATGCCAGTCCATCGCAGGGCACTCACACACAC